TCATGCAGCCTTGACAGCGAGCGTCCCTTGGTGCCACTTCTTTCCCCGACTTGGACTGATTATCCAGCACTGCTAGTTTTAGTGCTGTTGATCCCAGCTGGGAGATCCTATCTGGTGGGGCGCTCCACAGAGAGTGAACTTCGTGTCCCCTAGCGGATGCCAGGTAACCTCTTTTCCTCAACAGGATGTCCTGAGGGAAGTCGCAGCTGACCCCTAACCTTTTTCCCTCAGAGGAACACCCCAAAGGAAACAGCAGCCAATAACTTTCCCGTTCCCATCACACGACAAAGCCCCTCCACCCCTTCAGACTTGCGTCTGGGCTGTATCATCAAGAACTGGTGTAAGTTTGATCCCCCAACTCTCAAAAAGAAAGGTAATCTTTTTATGCAAAACACCCTGGCCAAAATACAGCCCTCTGGACCAAGAGGCCTGGCCCATTACATAGAGCTCTTGCCTATAAAATTATTTGGCAGCTTAATCTTTTCTGTCACAACTCCTCTCAATAGTCTGAGGTTCCTCATGTCCAAACCTACATGGCTCTGTCTCAAAGTCACGACCTGTGTAAAGACTGTCAAATGCGCCTTGCTAAATTTCATAAACCTACTGACTCTTTGGGAATTTTAAATAAATCTATCCTTTACATGTCTTGGACTCATTCCCCCTGAGGAACTCACTGCTCCCTCTAAGCCAACCACCCCTCCTCCATACGGGGCCACTGCCTATTATGTAAGGTTTGCTAAAGAGCTTTTGGAAAAGGAAGTCTGGTCGCTTTCCTGCACCTGGCTAACCTCTTCTGCTGGACAGATGAAGCGTTGGACACTGGACAGGACACGGGAACTGGTCACTCCCGCCTGGCTCCTTTTCCAAAAGCCTCGGGCCAACCTTTCTTTCACATCCTCGGGCACCTTTTAAACTGCAATTCAGTGATCTAGAGAAGGTCCTAGCAAATCTGCCTACTCACAGCTGGAAATGGGTGGGAACAGACCATTTCCACCATTAACTCAATTTAATTCTCTTACATTTTTAAATGTCTTGAAAACAAAGATGACCCATCCATCCAAATGGTCTGTTGCCTCCAAAACTCATCTATGAATCCATTTCAAATGGCACTGAAATGAGAATAGAAATGGCCAGAAGTTCTTTATATGCAGGCATTTGTGGATTTATATCTGCACTCTACAAATAAAATTATATTTTGTTATTTAAGGGTTAATTCAAATTATGAATTTAGATAAGTTATCTATTAAAAGGAAAAAGAAAAAAGAAACAGTAAGTGGGAAAGAAAGATATTAAAAAAGATATGAATATAAAGATGTATCTTTGGTAAGAAAAGTTATAAAGCCAGGCTCGGTGGCTCAGCCTATAATCCCGGGGTTTAAGACCTGCCTGGGCAACTTGGTGAGACCTCATCTCTACAATAAATCAAAAAAATTAGCCGGGCA